TATGAAAGGTAGAGAAAACGAGTAATACGAAGGATATAATGCTGCCATGTCATTTGCTTGCTTCAAGAAAATGGTGCAGAAAAACTTTGGCACCGCGGAAAACGCAGCCTCACTACCCGCCCCGACAGTCCGTAATGATGAGGAGAGTACGCCAGCGAACGGCAGCGCCTGCGACTAGGAAAGTTTAATATCGATCCAGCGAACGCCTACGTATGCGTAGGCGTTCGCTGGATCGATATTATTATATAGCGTACGTCACCGCTATCGCGGGTAATTTGAGCATGAGCAAAACAACCCGCAAGAACGCTGCTTTACGCTGGCATACGCTAGATCGATATCTATGCTGGTGCACGCTGACGCAAAGTATGAACGCAGCATGAATAGTCAGCTACGAGTTAGCTCAATGTTGCTGTATGAAGTGTTATTTGTTTTTCACAAAATGGCTATTAGGAGAAAACCTCTATTCAAGGGAAGTTATCTGTAGCATTCTCATAGTCGTGAATTCAAAAGGGTTGCTTCAAATATGCTGTTAATCAGACTATTTATTAGGTTGGCGAGAAAGTTCTGTCACATTTTTTCAAATTAGGCTTTCTTTTTATAGAGAGGCGTGTAAGATCAAAATTGTACAGCAATGTTACTGCGGGGTCCTTGCCAGTTTTTGAGCACCTCATGGATGCCATCGCTTCACAATGCAGGAGGCGCGACGCAAAGTTGGACATCATCTCAATCTTGACTTGAACTCGGGTTATGGAGGTTTTCTCGTCCATATAACGGTTGAGTACGGGAGGCAACTCGCAGTTAGAAGGAGCAATGTCTGGGCTACACCAGTGCAAGGGGAGAGCCATCCAGCTCTATTGCATGAGGTACGGCTCGAACTTTTTTGGACGGAGTGCGCTGCACTATCATGATGAGGGCGGGCTGTGCGGACAAATTTTTCCCTCTGATCGACGGTACGCTTTAGATCTCGTAGCTGCTTTGCGTACGCATTGACCGAGGAAGCAGCTTCTTCATCCAGCACTTTCACGACCCGCAGCTCCCTCAATCTGAGTTCACAGGTAACCCAAACCTCACTTCATCAAAACTGTAGGCTCCCGCTTTGAAGCATTAGCGTCGTGGAAGGTTGTCCGATAATTGAGGGCATCGTCCTTATTCAGCTCCATTATTTTGGCATCTGCAGCTATCATGCTGGCGTCAGGGTGGTGGAAGAAAGAGTTTGAGGAAGCGCTTGGAGGGGTCGGTGCCGATGGTAGCGGATAAAATCCTTGTCCATATTGCAGAAGAAGAAGCAGGAGTCAAGCGAGTGGTACTAATAGAAAGACCACTCCTTGATGTATAAGTGCTTACATTACCGTTCACCCCTCTTCAGGTAATGGGCAAGTTCTTGAGTTCAAAAAGTGTGATTTAGAATTCCTGCCAACTAATATTTTGATCGCGTGCTCCATGACGTACCAGTTTAGTACTAAGGTTTCACGAGTGGAAGTAAACTTCTACTTGAAACATGAGCATCTTTAAGAACAACACGAACAAGATTCACAATACATTTCAAGTGTTGACAGTGCGCGCGGGTTAATGGGCTAGATCCACAAAATAACATCTTTTTGTAGGTTCTGGACATGCGTGGTGTAAAAAAAGTGGAGCAAACGGCCATTCTGCAGGCGTACAGGTGAGCTATTAGTCACAATTAGCTATAATTGTCTACCTGAATCGCAATCAATTCTCGCGAAAAATCAGTCACTTTTTGAAGACAGAAGTTCGGAGCTGCGGCTGATGCTGCCCCTACGGTTCCTGTTGGAATGGGCAACGCATTATCAGCGACACAGGCTTTGAACGCTGTTGTTTCGATGGCTGCTGACGGATTAGCCGAGACGACCAGCATGAGAAGGCTTGAAAAGCTCGTTAAGAGAAATTTCTAGATATCGCGGGGTTCAACATTAGATTACCTTAGCGATCCTTCATGTGAGTGAACTTGGGAGGCTTACTTTATAGCCTCTGGAAGGATCCTTAAGAGTGAGATTTGCCTTCCTGGGCGCTATAGGAAACGCTGAATTCAGTAGATAAGCTTTTTGTCACGGGGTTTCATCGTCAGTCATATTTTTGTTCTTTTTCTGCTTCCTTCTATTGCATGATATTTCACATATATGGCCATATATTCGAGAGATTTTTGGTTTTTTTAGAGTTGTGAGTGGATCTTATACGGGTTTCTAATTTATTTATTTATTCGTTCAATTGTTGAGTTATTGTGAACTTTTGTGATGTCTCTTTTTCAAATAAATGTTTCCGAGCAAGTATTCATGGCTCACTACGCTTCATCCTTCCGAATCTTGTTTAGATATGTAATGACAGCTTCTGTATACCAAACTTTTACTACGCTTTGATGAGCTGATAGTATCATAGGATTCCTGAGTTTCATGGTTTAATATCTTCTGTGTTTTCTTGTTGAATGAAACTCTTCAAGATATTTATTTAGCAACGTTTCGGGCCTTAAGCCCTTCTTCAGGCCTACAATATATACAATATAATATCTACCGATCACACTTACCAGGGAGGTCGTTCAGGACGTGGAGCGCTTTTTGAAAACGGTTTTTTGCATGATGTAGGGTCACGTGCATGGAGTACCAAACTGACGTTCATTTTTCCTACGCGCTCTGGAAATACCAAAAAAGGAGTGAAAAAGAAATCTATGGAAACCGGTGGTTTTTGAGCCTCTGTGAGCTCTAAATCACTTGCAACTTCGACCAGTTGCTGAGTGGAGGGTCCTTATAAAGGTACTATTGGAGTGGAGGAGGAAAATAGCCGCGAATGGGGTCTTACTTGAGGCACGTCATTGAGAATGAGCGGCTCTGAGCGGCTTGTCGGGCGGTTTCTTCAACGATCGTAGTGGTGTTTAGCCACAACGATCGGATGGCCTAGTGGATAGCGTGGAGGATTCTCAATCGGACGGTGAGGGTAAGGGTTGATGCGCTTCTATAAATGTCTGCTTATGAATTTTACTCGGGTTCCTACCATTTATGGGCACATTCTAAATAGTTATACCCCACAAACAAGTCAATTCCGA